TAACATTTTCTTGAGATGATTAAACTTTTAGCATCATACAATGATAAAGTAACACAAGTTGTGTTAGAAAATGCTCCTTATAATTCAAAATATACTTCTCATCATATTCAAAAGGAAATTTTGCAAATTTTGTCTAGAAAAGTAAGAAATTATATTCGTAAAAAAATTGGTGACTCAAAATTTTGTATAATTGTTGATGAAGCTCGTGATGAATCTAGAAGAGGACAAATGGCTATTGTTTTGAGATTTGTAGATAAAATGGGTAATATTAAAGAACACTTTTTTGATATTGTGCATGTTAAGGATACTACAGCTGCTACTCTTAAAAGAGAATTATGTGTTGTTCTCTCTAGACATGATCTTGATGTTTCCAATATTCGTGGGCAAGGATATGATGGTGCTAGTAATATGAGAGGAGAATGGAATGAATTACAAGCATTATTTCTTAATGATAATCATTATGCTTATTATGTACATTGTTTTGCTCATAGATTACAACTTGCTTTGGTTGCTGCTTCAAGAGAAGTTATTCCAGTTCATCAATTTTTTTCAAATTTGGCTTTTATTATAAATGTTGTTTGTTCATCTAGTAAACGTCATGATGAATTACAAAGTGCAGAATTAGATGAAATAGCAAAATTGTTAGAACTTGGTGAACTTGAAACTGGTAAAGGAAAAAATCAAATTAGCACTTTAAAACGAGTTGGTGATACTTGTTGGAGTTCACATTTTCATTCCATTTGTAGTATGATGAAATTGTATAGTGCATCTTGTTTAGTTCTCCAAAAAATTATAATTGATGGTTCAACTTATTCTCAAAGGGGTGATGCTGATGCTGCTTATAATATTTTGTCTGAGTTTGAGTTTGTATTGATTTTACACATGATGAAAGAAATTATGGGAATTACTGATTGTCTTTGTCAAGCTTTACAGAAACAATCTCAGGATATACATAATGCTATGCAGTTAGTCTATTCGACTAAAATTTTGATTCAAAAATTAAGAGAGGAGGGTTGGCAAGATTTGTTGAAAGATGTGATATTGTTTTGTGAGCAACATGACATTGATATTCCTAATTTTAATTCTACCTATATAACACGTCATGGTCGTTCTCGACATCAAAAAGATTGTATTACAGTAGAACATCACTTTAGGGTGAACATATTTTTTATTACAGTGGATAAACCATTACAAGAATTAAATGATAGGTTTAGTGAGAAAACAATGGAACTTTTAACTTTAAGCAATGCTTTAATTCCAAATGATGTTTATAAAAATTTTAACATTGATCATATATGCACACTTGTGAACAAATTTTATCCTTTGGATCTTAGTGAACAAGAGAAGATTAATTTAAAATTTCAACTTCATCATTTTATACTTGATGCTTCTAACCATCCAGATTTGAAGAATTTGTCTACCATGCTTGAATTATGCCAATCTTTAACAAAAACAGGTAAGTCAGGTACATTTTACTTAATAGATCGTTTAATTCGTCTTATTTTAACTCTTCCTGTTTCTACAGCTACAACTGAGAGATCATTTTCTGCAATGAAGATTATCAAAACAAGACTGCGGAATAGAATGGAAGATGAAATTTTTGCAGATAATATGATCATTTATATTGAGAAAGAAATAGTTGAAAACTTTAGTTCCGATTCCATTATTGATGAATTCAAACATTTAAAAGAACGAAGGGCACAATTTTAAATAAATATATTATTTTTATTTATTATTATATATATATATATATATTTTTTTTTTATAATTGGCCTCCCGGACTTACCTGGTCAAGATCCGCCACTGTCTTCAACCTCACAAATTTACCCATGTGGTGAAACGTTACATAGAAACTCATTGTAATCCTACAATGTGAAAAATTAATTTAAACAATGTACGAAAAAAACCCTAAATCATTTTAACAAAAACCCCCCAAATGCATGCATTAGAACACAAAATAAACATCTAGTTTCGCAAATGAAAAAAAATACCTTAATTTTTGAAAATGAAAACCCTAGCTATGGTATACCACCGTCACACACTGTCGTTGTGCACCATCGTCGCTCTGTCAGTCGAACCATAATAAACCGATGGAACTCTCGAACTTCAAAGTCACTTTGACTTCATACAACCTTTACAGAGAAAAGGGAAGAAAGAAAAGACATTTGGTGTGTGACGAGAAAAGAAGAGAGAACGAAAAGTAGTTGTGGCGAGAAAAAAAGAGAGAATGAAGAGTGGTTGTGAAAAGAATTGAAGAACTTTGGTACGTGAGGAGAAAAGAAAAATTTCTACTTTTTAATTTTATTTTTTAAAAATAATAATCTATGTTGAATAATTTCTATTTTTTTTAAAGAAGAATTTTAATTTTTTTTAAATAATTACACGTGTCAAATAATGAATAAATCATATTATCCCTGTTAGATCGGTCACCATATATTTAACGCTGTTTAAAATAAGAACATATTCTAATCATTTCAAAAATATAAGAATCATTTTTATGTAAATTTTATCAGAATAATTATTTCCAATTTTACATGAAAGTACAACTACTAAAAATATATTTACCCCTAAGAAAACATTCATTTTTAAGGTTAGGAAACTTTTGTAACTATTTAATATTTTTTTCTTATCTTATCTATATATATATATATATATATATATATATATATATATATCGTTATTTGAACCAGTAGGGGTGTCAATATGAGTTCTAACCCGTGAGCCAAACCAGCTCACCACGGGTTCGAGCCGGGTTGGGTTCAATTTTTTTTATTTCTACCGATTATGGGTTAAAAATGAACCCGGCTCACTTAATCCACGGGTTAAATGGGTTCGAACCGGGTTATGATGGGTTGGCCCACAACCCACCATTAATTTTAAATTTTAAAAATAATTATAATAATATATTAACCCTAATTAATCATTTTTTTTAATTTTAAAAATAATTATAATACTTTAATAATTTTAATTGATGTTATCTTGTCTTACCTCTACCCTACATTGTTGGTTGTCACCACAAGTCAAACCCTCACTTAAACTTGTTATCAGTTGTTCACTGCACCACTACTGATTCATTGTTGCATTTGGGTTACTTATCTTATTATGTGTCCACCGCACCACTACATCATATACATTGTATTGCTTTCAAAGGTAATAATTTATCTCATAACCTAAACTATTGGATTGATGAATCTTTATTTAAAAATTGTAGCATCTATACATTATTTGTTGTTTGTTATTGATTTATACGTATATCTCTTTAATATATAAATTTTTGATTTCTTTCTTTTAAATTAATTTACAGTATAGAATCTAAAATAATACATCAAAGTGTCAATGTAAATTGTATTGGTGATGATTTTATTATTAATGAAAAATTCAATAAACCAATTTTAGTTAATAACGAAGATATCTGATGTTAAGAAAAAAATGAAGAAATCATAAGTTTTTGCATCCGAAGTTTTTATATAATTTAAAATTTAAAAAAATATGGGTTAATGAGTCAATCCACCTAATCTATTGATGGATTGAACCAAGTTGTAAAATCTCTTACTCGTAAAAAAGTAAACTCGATTAAGCTCCTCTGTTTGCAACTCAATCACGATGAGCCGAGTTGACTCATTTACACCGTGTGAACCAGTATCTTTTTCAAAATAATCAGTGTGACTACCGTTCTTATCTGGGTGAAAAACATTTAATGTATTTCACCAACTTTTTCCTTTTCTTTTATGATCTATGTTGCTTATTTATCTTGGGCAGATGCCACAGTAGACTTTTCAAAGTTTTACATGTTCCTTTTCTATAGAATACGGCTTTCAATACGATATATTTTAAACTTGAAGCCTTGGAAATACCTTTTTTCAGTTTACTTTGCCTGTTCAAAGACAAAGAATAAATATCCATTTACTCTTCCAAAACTAATCACACAATAATATTAATAAGTTCTAAAACTTATCAAATAACACATATTATTGAAAACAAATAAATACAAAATTTAAAACTAAGAAAAAAATTGCACAATATTTTAAAAAATAATACATTATGTATAGATTTAATGTGTTTTCAGTCAATTTCTATTTTAACAATTTTTTTACTTATAATATTTGTAACATATTCATACATACCAATAAAAGTAATTTATTTGATTTTTTTAAATGTGACCAATGTTACAATATATTAAATTAGCCTTTGGTATTTTTTTTAAAATGTTACCAATATATTAAAATAATACTTATTTTATTAATTTATAAAATATATGATCCTAAAATAGTTTTTTAAATAAAATAGAAGTAAATTCACAGACAAAATTTAAGAATAAATGAAAATAAATATGTTTGAGGATGTGCTCGGTATAAAGAGTATGAGATTTTCGAATCATTAGAGATTTTATGATTTATGATTGGAGAGTTTATTAAGAATAAAAAGAAATAACTCCATGAAGTTCATGAAGTTCTTCATTCATTATCTCAACATAATTTTAAAGTAAAGAGTATATATTTTTAATCACAGAAGTAGCTGGAAGCTGCTTATCCATTCATTCTGAACCCGTTGGAAGCTATTGTTTACTGCCAAAACAACGAGATATTTTAATTGGAAGAAACAAAAAAATCAAGGTTTCAGATACTATTTCTCAAGCACGTCGCACCAAACCATGCAAAGGAATACACTAATGACTTTGATTCTCACCTTTAATCTCCCAATGGGTCGATTTAACATTTGTCTATTCTGCTTTAATGCACGTGCGTGCCCCAGAAAGTGTGTACAATAAATACAAAAACGGGTTTCATTTTCTTCCAATTGCCTTCAATTCAATTGTCTTGAGGAAAGCCAGCCACTGCTTAGTGATGAGCTTCACTGACATAGATATTTTAACTTTGATTTGTAATATGAAGTTGATAAGAATGTTGTGATCGTTAAATGATTTCACTAAGTTCAGTTCAGTGGCATGCACCAAAATCCCATTTGAAAGCCAAATTGTTCTTACTTTTGTGAAGGAGCAGATGATTATCAGAGTGAGCTTCATGGTCGTAGCTTCAGTTGCTGCAATCAAGATTTCACAGACAAAAACCACCTCTTCTACCCAGAGAAAAGGTACATTGAAATGTTCAGGTGCCATCATATTTCATCTCCATTACTATAAATGCCCTTTTTTTTCTTATGAAAAACAAATTTGGTAATTTATGTATAAAACGAGTTTCCAATTTCAGTATAAAATTCTAAATTTCTGTGTCTTCGTTGTGTTGATTCATTCTACTCTTTTCGTATGATGCTTAGTGCTAAGGAAGTGATGGGTCACTCTTGGAACAAGAGTTTGAAGAGAGGGGAAATAGCACTGTTAAGGTTAATAATGTGATGCAGGTAGTGAGGTAACCTTCATGTGTTTAGTCAAAAAAATCAATAAGAATGTTGAAAGAAACCTGACTATAGAATTTTCTTTTGCTGCAGAATGAAGAGAAGAAGATTAACTTTGAAATGCCAAAAAATCTGCCAACAGGAGAATTTAAGGGCTTGGAGCTATTAATAGATGGTGAGAAAATGCATAATCTTACAGAGAAGGAGGTATTGCAGAATTTGGTAAAAAGTTACAGGCGGAGAGAAGTGAAGCTTGAAAGGAAGCTTCTTGAATTGAATGGTTTAAGGGAAGAGCAATCTTCCATTGCTACAATGCAAAAACAAATAAAGGAAAAGACAGAAAAAGTGGACTTTCTTAAAAAGGCCATTGCTTCCTTTCAGTCAGAGAATAAAATTATTCGAGAAAAAATAAGAGATGATCAAATGTCAAAAAAGCAGCTAGATATTGCAAAGAAAATTATAAATGAGATGCAAAGGAAAAAGGATGTCATTGTCAATGCAAGCCCTGTGAGGGAGCAGATACTGATGCTCCAACAGCAAGTGACTGAATTTCAGAAGTTTCATAGCTCAGGTGGAAATTCTACAACAACTAGGAAAATTAAAGATGTTCAAGGCATTGAATTAGAAGTTTTGGAACTGAAGAGGAGAAACAAAGAGCTTGAATTGGAGAAAAGGGAGATGAAAACTAAGTTGGCTACTTCCCAAGCAAGAATCAGAAAGGTGAGTAACACTCAACCATAGAATATGGAAGGTGCGAATTTCATTCATTCATATTGCTAGTTTGTGATGCATGATAAGACTTTGGAGTTAGTTTGTGATGCTCAATACAACCTGATATTTTCTCACTCTTCTCTACCTATAATTGTTGAATTATTGGCAAGCGTATCAAATTATCAATCGCAGTATAGTATTTCGATTAAATAAAAGTTGATCCCACGAGGAACAATTTCAATAGAAATTCCCAATTATGCTTACTAAGTAGATTAAAACAGATTAGGTTTTGCAAATAAGAGTTGAATTGAAATTAAATGACAAAGACTTGTAAATTGTTGAGAAAATATCAATTAAAGGTACTTAGGATTGACTTCCTTCCTTATCCCTCTTTTGTAATGGCTATGTCAATTAAGAACGTCAATTAACCTAACAATGTTGATGCCACCTACTCAAATCATCCATGATGATTCCTCACACATAAAATTCATAAGAAAACCTAATAAATGTTGATTCCTCACACAATTAACAGATTTTCCAGCATTAGGGTTAGGGTGTTTAAGCAATTGATACATTCATTCCATTCCTGGCAATTAACGTAACAAATATTCTTACCGTGATCTAGGGTTCAAGATATATTTTCCAATCATACCTCAAACAATCAAGAATAAATCATTCCAAAGCATAGAAGATAAGAATAACAACATCAAAGCATAGATTAATATCTCAAAATATCACAAGGAAGTGCACCGAATCCTAAGAGAATGAAGTTAGCCACTCATGTTGGCCATTACAATGCTCCAATTGATGAAGTGAAGAATTGATGAAGATTAGACAAAACCCTAACAGTAGTCGTGCCTCCTCTCCTTCAAGACTGCTTCTTTTTCTCAAAACACAACTTATCTTTTTATAAGAGAATTTGGGTCAGGCCTTGCATCATTCATTCGCTTAAACGCTCTTATTTCTTTCAATTTTACTCTAATTATGCTGACAATTATGCTCCTTCCTTTTGTATCAAGGTATTCTCGAATTCATCCTATATTGGGAGAAAAATATATTAGAATTAACATAAGTTAAGTGGTTTCATAACAATTCAAGGCATAATTATTTTAACTTTTTACCACTTAACAATAATCAATAACTTTTCTTTAAAATATGATTGATTGAGATTAAATTTCGTTAGAATAGCAGTTAACTAGTTTTTTCCTGTTAAAATTTGTTGACTAGTTTTGAACATAAACAAGCATCTTGTACTCTGCGAATTTAGCACTTAGTCATGTGTTATTATTGTGTTTTACATGTGCAGGAGGAAACAAGGACAAGAATAGAACAAGAAATTGCTGATTTGCGACGTGAGCATGAAGAACTTTCAGAGGTAGTTGAAACATTGCAGAGAAACAGATTTGATATGGTCCAGGAAGTTGTCTACCAACGGTGGCTTTACACATTGTTGAGGTTTGAAGTTCAGGATAATCAAAGACAAAGCAGAAAGGCCTCAATAAGAGATTGCAGCAAGAACTCAAGCAAAGAACTCTGTGAGATAAAACATGCATCAACATCTGACATTAGTGACCTTGAGCTTGAAAGCTTCTCCTCCAGTGCCACATTAGATGAGAGTGATGAAATTGAAACTACTACCTTTGCAAGCTCTTCTAGTAGCCAAAGTAGTAATAGTAGTATGAAAATGAAGGGATGGAGAAAAACAAGAGATTGGTGTAACAAAATTTCATCAAAAGGTATAAATCTTGGGAGCAGCCCTAGCCTAATACGTAGGTTATCCTTTTCCATGTCATATGATGGATCATATGTATCCAAATCAGTGAACAGTGGTAATACTCCAGTCATCAAACTACCCCAGAATGTGAATACTGATACTAATGAGAACCCAATAATACCAAAGAAGAAAAGAGTCTCTTTCAGTGATTCAGTTAAACTATCTACCTATCAAGACATTCCCGAGGTAGTTGAGAATGCAATAGATGACAGAGAAACAAGATCTGGGAAGATGGTTGAGCTGACTTCAAATGAGGTGAACTCCACCAATATTAATTCCATTGAAGAGAATGAAGGTGCCAAGAATGAAATTGGTCATTCAGATGAAGTCTATTCTGGGAATAAACTGCTTTCTTCTAAACTGGATCTCAGGATCAAAACTATAACGGTGTATTTGGTGGCATTTTTGTTCTTTTCAATGATTCTGCTACATGCATCTGGATCAAATAACAATGTCCTTAATTGTATGAAATAGAGATGACTTTGTTGCAACTCATCTTTCAAAGTGTAGTCTGTCAATCAGATTTTGTAAGGTCTAAGATTTAGAAAGAAAAAAAAACTATGAAAATGATGTTGCATTGAATGGAAAAAGCCACCTCTGTCTTTGATGGTACGTATCTATTTTTGTTGAATTCATATTCTATTTCAACTTTCCTCTTCATTTGTCAAGGTTACCTACATACTTATTGATCTTCTAGTTTCATGTCATCTAATTCATATATTTCGGGTCACTTAACACTGTTTGATGACACCAAATAAATCGTTTCTTCAATGTCATCATTTAGAAACATTGTTTTCACATCTAACTCACCTGTATCATCCTAGAACTAGTTGTTTACAAGATTCAAGAAACATCTTAATCGATCTTAAAAAAAATAAAAAAAAAATCAATTCACCCATTTCTTACTTGTATTTGTATACATCAATATCGATCTCTAGTGAAATCACGATTTTATGCCGTTCTTTACATTTTTCTACCTTTTTTATTGGTATAGTTTAATTGATATAGAATTAATCTTTCTACATTACTTAAACTCTTAACATATTTAAAAACTTAATTCAACATCAATTATATTTTACACGATGTAGAATTATATTTTAATTTATAAAACATTACCACTCCGATTCTACATGAATGGTTAAAGTCAATTTAACCGACATAAATATACATCTTAAAACAAAATTCAAAATTCTTGTAGTACGGTTATTTAATAACGGAACGCTGGGGGAAAAAATTGGAGAATAGAATACTAGCTTATAGTTTTGATGCATTAGGATGAATCTTAACAAAGTCTTTTTTCTTGATTGTAGATAAAATGGAAAGGGTTATTCTTCATTATTTTTTTCTTACCTTCGTCGTTACAAAATATAAATTTTTGAAAGATTCTTCTAAATATATGAAACCAGGTTTGTGAAAATTTTATTGAATGAAAATGTATAGTAGTAGAAATTTTATCTTGAAATTTATTAGTTTGATGGTTGAAATATTTTCTAGCTCAAAACCGCAAACTTGAAACTAATATTAAAGAATTAAAAAAGACTACTTATTTCTAATCTTCTAAAAATTCATTTTATTTAGTTAGTTCATTCTTTATTTAGTTTTTATGGACTTAGTCATACTGGTTTAATGTTACACATTTTTATTGACTTAATTCTCCTGTATGAGATTTGTTATAGTCACCTTTGATCATAGCTAGATTTTTAGAATGATATGATCATTGAAACAACTATTTTGATCTCACAATTTTTTTTAGATCAAATCAATAATTATCCTTATGTTAATAAATGTTTAAGTAGATAAGGATACTGTATAATCATTCAATCTCGAGAGAAAACATTGAGACTTAAACTCTTGTCAAAAAATCATTAGAATATTAATGATTCTCATCAAAACGTGTTTGACGTAAATTTTTGACGTTATATAAATATTATTTTTTTTAAGAAAAAAAATATTGACACTTAACATTTTGGTCTCAAATGTAATTAGATTCAACATGGTAGATTGAATTCGAAAACACTACTCACAGAAAAATAATTAGCGCTTTACTTTTGGGAGGGAAACATCACAAAACGTGTCATTAAACATTTTTTAACTTTTCTACATATTTTGCATTTTGAACAACGGTTATTTCTACTATCACATGCATTGAAGGTTTTCAAATATCTTAGTTAATTTGCTATTTATCTTGAGTTATTAATACGTATGACTCATTTATGATACTCTTGTATGGCAATCAGATTTAAGTTTATGAACTATTAAGAGAGTCTCATTAAATATTATAACTAATGTATAGAAAAACTTTGTATACAATCATAAAGTATTGTAACTTGCATGTCGTTTGGAGTACTACCAAATGAATATGGGTGACTTAGGTTTTCATAAGGAATCACATTTAGGATCGTAGATTAGGTAAGTGAAGACCACGTAATAGGCCATTTAGAATCACTCAATGACGAACATGTAATGGATAATTTACAATCACAAATTGGGTCAGTAATACCCACATAATATATAATTTAGGACCTCAAATTACATTAGAAATGACCACGTAATGGATCACTTAGAGTCATAAATTAGGTCATAAACGAACACATAATTGTAGGTTCGTAAATTGAGTCAGTAACAACCATGCAATGGATCACTTAGGATCACAAATTGGCTATGGAATTAGGTTGAGCGATTAAGAGTCATAAACTTACTCAAATTCATTATCTTCAAAAGCTTTTGGAGAAAAAATCCTGGTTGGGAAGAAAAAATTTCCAAAGAACAAAAATACCATTATTCAATTAATTGAAGTAACATAGATTCGAAACGTTGCAAATCTTTGAAATGTTCCTCCATTCAGAGTCTCTAATCGATATGTTCTCTTTCTTATTACCCTGGTCTTGTGTCGAGCTTCTTCGTTCTGTATCTTTTATTCTTCCATCATTTCCATAATTTGCTCTATTGTTGAGGAATTGTCTTCCTCGTTGGGTTGAAAATTTGTTCTTGTTCTTCTCATTTTTCTTTGCTCTTTTGTTTTTCATGTTGTAAGAAACACTTTAACATTCTCTACATACGTCGCCAAATGTTTTGTTTGAGAACAATAGTGTAGCAATCTCATGTTCACTATGATAACATTATTATGGTCTATCATCATATCTGAGGTATTTTTCACTTTGAAATTCTAATTCGTTATGATTTTGTCCTTAAAAGGAGTCTTAATGGATTGAGAGAAGATTATATATAAAAACTACCCATGATCTTGACTTCTAAGTGGTGTGAGACTGATGAGCATACAAGAACATATCTCCCTAGTCGAAAACTGAAAGGATACGAGTGTATCAAAACTCTAGTCTCGACCCACAATGGACATTAATGTTTTTTCTAGGAACAACATAGTGTCTTGGCCTCATGTCTTGACCTCATATTCGTATAGGCAGAGTTTCAAATTGGAGAACACCTCGAATATGGTAATTTAATGATGTTATTATAGCATATATGAGGTTCAAACCAAGATTATCATACTTGAGAGTCTTCGTAGACTCGTGGGAGGTCTGTAAACTTAACTTGTAAAGTCGACTCGGAGACTCGTAAGAGCCTACTTCATATGAAAATACCAATTTAAACAAGTATGATAATATTAATTTCACATTACTAAATAAATAAATTCATACAATAATATACCGATCAAATATAAGTTCTTAAAGTGATAAGATAACAATGAAATAACTACATTTGTCTTATCAAGTTTATATATCTTCATCTAATCCTCTAATGAAATCATCTCCCTCATGATCTACATCATCATTAATCAATCTTTGCATGCATATATACAATCCTCCTTTCACCTAGGCTTATAGTGCAAATGAGGATTAAGGTAATAAGATGTTGCATGCAAAAACCTATGGAGTTGATTATCCCACCTTTCATAAATGATTTTCCAAACAGGTTTATAACTACAAAAATATCAATTATACTATATTAGAAGTTGATTACAAATTAAGTAATTAAATTCTAAATGATATAAGATTTAGAATTTTTATCTTTTCTTAATATTATTGAAGTTGTTCTTAATTTTCTCCTTTGCAGAATCAATCTCCTCATATATGAAACTCATTGTGGGTTTTGTATCTAAATCCACCAATCAAAAGGCCACCATAAGAGGAGCAACAACTTTTAGGCATGTAGTTACATTATTCTAAAAGCGGCTATCTAATACAATGTTCTCAATTTGTGGACCAACCAAACTTATCTTCAACAAAAAAAAAAGGGTATTTGATTATTTTTATTGATGATTTAAGTAGAAAAATATGAATTTATTTCTTGACAGAAAAATTAGAAGCTTTTTTTATCTTCAAAAATTATAAGACGTATATTAAGAAGGAAGTTGATTCATTAATCAAAGGCTTGCGCCTTGATTATGGGACGAACTCACATCACAATAATTCACCAACTTTTGTTGTGACAATGGTATTCGAAGGCAATTGACAATTGCATATACGCCACAACATAAAGAAATTATAGAAAGAAATAATATAACCATTATGAACACGGTGCGAAGCATGCTCTTAAAGAATGAAATGCCAAAAACCTTGCTAATTGGCCAATGCATGTCTTAAATTGGAGTACAATGTTAGTTATAAGAAATAAGATACCAAAAGAAGCTTGGAGCATAATCAAGCCTTCAATTAAGTATTTTAGAGGTTTTGGATGTATTTCTCATGTTCATGTACCTGATGCTAAAAAAGCTAAGCTAGATGATAAAAGTTTTTGTTATGTTCTCTTGAGGGTTAGTGAGGTATCAAAAGAATACAAGCTTTAGAAGATAAGGGTTGGGATTGGGATAAGAATTATGAAAAAGCCATCATATGTGATTTAGATTGGGGTGACAAGGATGTAAAAGTTGTTATGGAAGAAGACAATGAGACACAACATGGATCTGATCATAATACTGATACCAAAAGAGAGGATAATAGTTCCTTTGATTCTATTGCAGATGAACACATTCCTAGTCCAAATAAACGAAGGTGTAGAAGAACACCACTTTGGATGGAAGATTAAGAAACTGGAGAAGGACCTCTAAAGGAAATACAAAAGTTAATCTGGCTTTGTTTGCAATTGGTGGTGATTCTACTCACTTTGATGTTGCTGTTAAAATTGAAAAATGGAGAAAAGCCATGGATATGGAGATGGAAACAATTAAAAGAAATGACACTTGAGAATTAACAAATTACCTAACGAAGCAAAGAAAGTTGGAGTGGATTTATAAAACTAAATTCAAATAGAATGGAGAAGTGGGGAAATACAAAGCCAAACTTGTTTTTTAAGGGGGTATAATTCGTTTGGTGGTAGCACTTACAACTCAAAAAGGATAGAAAATCTATCAGTTGGATGTAAAGTCATCATTTTTATATGGAGAGTTGAATGAAACAGTGTATGTGAATCAACATGTGGTTACATACAAAAAGGGAATGTGCATAAAATTTATAAAT